CGCGCGAACGCCTTGAAGCGTTTGCGCTTCGACGTGATGATGCAGGGGATGCCGATCTCGAGCATCGCGCCGCGGGGGGACGGCAGGTCCTTGAGCGTTCCCGTCGCCGCCGGGGCAGCAGGTGCTGGCCGCTTCACGGGCGGTGGTGCCGTTTTAGGTGTCGGTTTGGCGGTGGGAGGGGTGGCCGTGGCTTTCGTGGTGACGGTCGACACGGTGTCGCCGGAGCCCTTGCGCTTGACACGCAGCGTCGATGCGCTCGCGGTCGACGCCGTGCTGTCCGTCTTGTGGTGGTCCCTCTCCTTCTCCGCTGTGTTCGGCGGCTCTACCTCCTTCTCCACCTCCTTCTCCTTCTCCTCCTTTTCTTTTTCCTTTTCCTTCTCTTTCTGCGGATCCTTCTCCTTTGCCCCTACCGGGACCCGCCCCCGCTGCTTCAGCGTAATGACCTTCGTCTCAGGCCGCTTTTCGCGACCCACCGCGAGCGTCGCTTTGCGCGCCGCGCTCGCCGCCGTATCCATTGTGCTCGTGCTTCCCGCCGCGCTCGCCACGCTCCGTACGCTCGGCGTCCCGCGCCGCCGCACCGCGGGGTCCAGCGCCGGCACCGGCGGCCTTGCGCCGCTCCCGCTCGCGCCCGTCGTGCGCACCGACACATCCGACGCCCCGCTCCCCTTGCGGCTCCGCGCGGTCGTCTTGCTCGCAACGCTCGACACGGAGCTCTGCCTCGACCGCGACGAGCTCGTCCCGCTCAGCGCCGTGCGGAACTCGGAGACGCTCGCGCTCGCAGACGTGCTCGCGCCTGACGCGCGCCGTCCGCCCGCGGTGTTAAGCAGCGGCGGCGGCCGTAGCCCGGTGCCACGTGTGGTGCGCGCCGTAGACGTCGACGCGGCGGAACCCGGGCGCGTGGACACGGTGCTGCGGGAGGACGCGGCGGAGCGCGGGCGTGGCGCAGGCGAGACGCTCACGCTCACGGCGGACCGTTTCGGGGGCGGCGTGGTAGTCGTAGTTGTGCTAGTAGTAGTAGACGCAAGCGTAGACGTCGACGGCGTCGGCGAGCCGGGCAGCGCGCGCGTCGGTACAGGCGGTTTCTTCGACGCAACGGTGGGCGACGGCGGCGCACTGCCGCTGCCGCCCGCGTGTGCGTTTGCGCGGCCCTTGCCCTTGAGCGTGCTGCTCGCGTCGTCGAGCGAGCGGAAGAGCGCGCCCGCACCCATTTCCGGCGTGAGCTTCGAGTCGGGGCGCTCGCCGGCTTCATTCTCATCATCGTCCTTCTCTTCGGGCACGCGCTCGCTCCCACGCACGCTGCGCGCGGCGCGCGGCGTCGGTATACTGCGGCTCAGCACGCTCACACGCATCGAGCTCTGCTGCGTGTGGATGCTCAGGCTGTGCGCGTCCGCGTCCTTAGCGTGTGCGCTCAGAAGTGCGGTGGATTTGCGCGACGTCGAGGTGGGCTGGCGCGGGTGCTGGCCTGGGGCGGTGGGATCGCGTTGAGGAGGTCGTCGACGGGGATGTCGAGGACTGGAGAAGTGGTCAGCGGCTAATACGCGAGGATGAAGAAGGCGGCGACAAAAAGGTCGTTCGGCAAAAGCACGAGTACGAGCACCCTGTCATGGCTTGCAAATGTTCGTCTAAGCGGCGCCAGATGGACGTCACTAGACGAGATGAGGTACAAAAACGTCGCGTCAAGGCACCGATGGGGTCCAATATCGAGCTCGGGACGAGGTCGGGGTATAAAGACACCAACGCGAATATCTCCGTGGATGGCACTGACAAGCATTCCCCAATAATGCCTGCGTTACAGCGGGGCCCGCCAAACGTCGACCACCCAGTCCCGGCAATAACGCAGGGGCTGTACTTCCGAAAAAAGGAAAGCTCGTCTCCAGCCGGATGCACAACGCTTCCTCCTCCGCCTGCCCCACCCACAAGAATGCAAAACACACGCCCCAAAAAGAAGGCAGAATAATGGCAAAAGCACGCCTGGGGCGTCGAGACCCAGCCACGGGATATCTATCCATCGTCCACCTGAGCGGCGCCAGATGAACGCCGACGGGACGAGATGGGTGCAAACGTCGCAGGATAGCAAAGACACCAACGGCCTGGCTTCACAATAAGCCAGCCAATGTCCAGTTTGCGGGTCGTGGTATAAAGCCACCAACTCGGATGTGTCCGCAAAGCCGGGACCCCAAAGCCCAGCATGACGCGGGGCAACAACGCAGCCTTCGAGAAGGTGACGACGCGAAAGCGCAGGACGCCTCCGCCCGCCGCCACCACAAACGGACGATACCCCGAACACGCCTCGCGCAAAAACATCCAAAAAACCCCAAAACCAGAAGAAAAAGAAACTCACAATCGCCAATCTCCCGCACCGCCCAGCCCTCGACGCCATCGAGCCCGCCTTCGCGCGCGAGACGGTCCGCGCGCCCGCGCCCGCCGCGCTTGAGCCAGTTTAGGACGTCAATCCTGGGCGAAAGAGTTAATATTTATATAAGACGGGGTAGATAGGAGAGGCGCATAGAAAGAAGAGAGCACCCACCTCGCCTGCTCGACCTGCACGCGCACATGGCTCGTCTGCGAAAGGAGTGGCTGCGCGGGGAAGGTGCCCTCCTCGGCCGGATCCGGGTGCGGGAGGAGGAGGACGTTGACAAGGGCCTGCGTCACGTTAGTCGTACATATAAAATAAAAGGCGGCGAAGCACACCTGATACACGCGCCCCGCATTCGTCTCGTTCGCGCCCCGCACAACGCCCCGCATAACCCACTCCACCCGCTCCCCGTCCTCGAACCGCACGCCGTCCGAGCTCATGATCGCCGCCCAGTCCTTCTCGCCGAGCACCGCGGCCGTCTGCCCGCCCAGCACCGCGTCCACGCCGCTCCGCCCCGCGTCGATCAAAGGGCGCACGACGTCCGCCCACGCATCGACGAGCGGCGCGAGTCGCGCCTTGGCGTGCTCCGCCGCCCACAGGATCGCGAGCGCATTCGCCGGCGTGCTGCGCTTCGCGAGCCCCTTGAGCGCCGAGGCGTGTAACTTGGGGGGCAGCGCCGCGAACTCGGGCGTGCACCACCCCGCGCCAAACAGCCCCACGAGCGCGCGCCGCGCGCCACGCTCGAGCACCTCGTCCTGCGCGTCCGGCCGCAGTGCAAACTCGAGGATGCGCGGGACGCGCTGCGCGCACTTGCGGCACGTGCAGCCGCCCGCGCGCCACGCGCCCTGCGTGAGCGACTCGTACGCGGCGAAGGGCAGCGCGGCGTGGAAGAGCCCGTGCGCCATCTCGCTGATGATGCGCGCGCGGACCTCGGCGTGTAACGTAGGCAAAGAGAGGTAGGTGGCGGAGAGGAGGAGCGCAAGCGCGGTGGAGAGGTCGTAGGTGCGGTGCGAGAAAATGAGGGTGCCGGTGTAGAGGAAGCCGAGGGTGAAGTGGAGGGAGGCGGGGGTGAAGGGCGGGGAGGGCAGCGAGAGGGTGAGGGGGTCGGCGGAGGAGCCGGACAGGGAGGAGGAGAGTGGTTTTGAAGGGGAGGGCCAGGAGATGAGCGCGGTGTGGAAGTATGGGGAGCGCGAGGCGAGGATAAAGCGGTGCGAAGAGAAGACGGGCATCTGCCTGTCGTGCGCGTCGTCGTCGTCGCCCGTCGACACGGGGGGACCATTACTCGTCAGCGCGATGCGCACATCCGAGTAGAGCCGCGAGCGCCACATGAATACGAGGTCCTTTCGCAGCTTGTCGATACGCAGCTCCTCCGGGCCCGCGTCGTCGCCGTCGCCGGGGCCCTCCTCGCCCGCCTGCTCGTCAAAGAGGAACTCGAAGGCTTCGCCGAAGCCCTGCCCGGTGTACAGATACTCGAGCTCGTTGGAGAACAGGGCGGGGTTGATGCTCGTGGTGAGGCGCGTGAGGCCGCCGACGGTCGTCGAAGGCGCGGGGGACGCGGTGCGGAAAGGCGAGGGCGAGGGCGAGCGGCTGCCACGGGGGATGTCGAGAGACAGAGCCGACGCCGCCAGCGGCGAGCCCCCGCGCCCTTGCGGTCGGAAAGAAAAGTATCGGGTTTGGAACGACGGCGGGGCACGGGCATAAACGATTGCTGTGTGTATATGTCAGCCACACGCCACATATTTATTGTGCATCGGCGACCGACCCTTGTGCCCCCAGACCTCCTCTGTGCCTTGTCCCTCGGTGGTGAGCTCCCAGACTACATCCGGGAAGCGTTCTTTTGCGTGCTGGAAGAGAGCGGCCAGGTCCCGCTGCCACGCCGATGTAGAGTTGCGCGTCGCTTCCTGCGCCGGGCATGAAACAAATTCAAGAGCAAGACAGCACGCTACACACCTGCAGCGACAATGCATGGGTCGCCTCCTGCAGCGACATGAGAAAGAGAGTACAGCGAGAGGCCTCAAAGATTCAAAGAAGCAGTAGTATCCCGACAAACACGAGGCACCGGCCAATGGCGTTAGCCGCCCGTCTAATTCCTCCGAAATGTCCCCTAGTTGTCTTGAACACGTCCCCGAGGGTTTCAAGGACCAGTAATCCCGCAGATCGCCAGAAATCTCAGTCAGAATCCACAGGCTGCAATTGGCAAAAGCGAAGAGCCGAAATGCATGCTCCAGCCAGACAAGAACAAATAACGCGTCGGGCCGGACTTCTTCTCAACCACCATCTCGACTCTCTTGGACTCCTCCCTGGCTATTCACAGTTATTAACCCGCAACACCCACTGGATACGGCTCGTTGGTTGCACCACTTCTGCCCCATATTCTAAATCTCTGAGAGACCCTTTCCGCAGCAGCCGCTCGTTCGATTCGGGCCCGAGCCATGTGCGCCACTGGATATCCAACCTTTTTAGCCTGCTAGGGTACGCAACCTAAGCTACAGCACTCTTTTACGAAATCAACGGAGCCTTGGAAGCTGGAACTCTGACGGCCATTTTCCGCGGATATTTCCGCTCAACTTCAGCGCGCCTGACTCCGTATCTCATCTCCTCCAAATCTCTCACATGAATGCAGTCGCGAAATAGGCATAGAGACGGCTCGGTGGTGGAGTGTCCACACCTGCTATGGATACGCAGCATCACACCGGACAATCTCGTTCCCGCAGGAGACGCTCGTTCGATTCGAGCCCGAGCCATGCTCTTCTCTCTTCTTCTGTTTTTTTTTTTTAACTCACTCTGGTACGCAACTCACGATTTGAACAGCGACGAGTCGCAGTCGCTTTTTCAGCCCGTGCCGGCTGCTTCTATGGAACTTCGGAGCGCCATCTTGGGGCGATTTTCTGGACCTCGATTTCTTCACATTGATAGGTGCGGAAGAGGGTTAGGAACGGCTTGGTCGCGGACGGTTCACGCCCGTGTTCAATACAGACCCAATTATGGGGTAAATCCGCTCGTTCGATTCGAGCCCAAGCCATGTGTTGTCTTCCTCAGTGCTTTTTAGCTCGCGGCGGCACGCAATCCAGCTCCCTCACTCGCAAAATTCAACTGCAAGCATTGACAAGAAAAGCTTCACAAATCAAATTCAAAGCGCGCCATTTCGGTACGACTCTTCGGCTGTCGAATTTCAGTCTGAACCCTGTAAAAACTCTCACATGAATCCAGGTGCGAAATATGGCTAAGACTCGGAGTGCCGGTCCGTGCACATGCGCTCGACAATTCAAACGTATCGCATAAATCCAGGTGCGAAAGCAGGCTATTATGAACGGCTCGGTAGTGGACGGTTCTTATACAGCTTCCTGCGATAAAAGCTGGGCTCTGCAAAATTCAACGGCGATATCTGATAGTAGAACTTGAGTAGAACGGATGATAAAAAAACACGGATAGATGTCCGCGATTGGTCGAGTAACTCAAGTTAGCTCGATCATCTTCGAAACCAGGTGAGCCCTTGATACAGCGCGGGCTGCACGTTATCAGCTTCTCTTCCGTTAGATCCAGGTTTAAGGATAGAGACGAGCGTCTACAGCGTTTATCCAGCCAAGACACATATAGCCATCCAAGTCATCTTAGGTTGATCCTTCCCAAGGGACAGTGGGAAGCTCTGACAAGTCATTGTAGCTCAGACACTCTCATGAACGCCTTCCTCCTGAGTCCTTGCCGAGCGAGTAACTACAAACTGGATTTTCCAAGTTCGATCAGTACCCTAAAAGCAGGACATGGCACGCTGGCATAGGCATGTTTCGTTGCCCCCAAGATCGTGGGTCCGAGGCAAGTTTCTTCCTGAATCTACAGTCGTTTATTGTCGGCCGACACGATTTCCTCAGGCGGACACATGCCGTCATCATGTTCAGTGTCGTTGCAACGCAGGCGGATGCAGTTCTTAATCGATGACCATCGATCCATTATTGACTCTGTTGATGTTGAAATCCAGAAATATCTGGACTTGCAATTGGTCTCTCGAGGGAATGCATGTTTTCAATACGGGAAATCTAAGTTACTGATAGAAATCGCCCGTCTACAGATTCCAGAAAGCTGCAATTGTCATCGGGGTTCATTAATATCTCAATTTTATGCTTCCACCGCGCCAGCTACGCATGTCTTCAGCACTACTCGTATTGCTCAAGTCAAACTAAATCCGCGGCAAATAAGTACATAAAAGGGATGGTAGAATTGACTTTCGTTCCACCGGGCTCCCATGTCTACTCCCTGCAAGAGCGCCGCCGCCTTTATGTTGGAACTTGAAGGAATCGCCCGAAACCACCAACAGAACCCTACATGCGTAGATCAGGTCATTCTCGCACGTAAGGAGTTGTCGTTGACGTTTCTTCGAAGTACAAAGGGGACGTGTTGAAATGGTGTATCTCGGAGCCAACGACACCCTGCTTGGGTATATTCGTGGAACCAGAGACTGGTCGCCTTCAGGAAGTTATCGCAAAGTCTCGATTATCCTCCGGCCCTTGTCGTCCCGTCGAATCTTTTCCCCAAGGCCTCAGCAGTTTCTGCGACAATGTCCCTGTCTTCGTCGGTCATTCTGGTCAGGGACACGACAGGCCCGCGGACACTCAGGTTGAACTTGGTCCGTTTTTTCCCAAGAAAAAGCACTGATTTATCCTATGAAATTTCGGTTTTGGCGGCTGTGTTATCCTATTTCGGACTAAGTTGGGCAATTTTTTCGCCCCCGGCCCGGGCGAAGACGGGGTAAACGTAAAAATTTGTCAGATGTTGTATGCTGTTGATCTCTAATTAGGCTTGTGGTCCAAGAAGCGGCATGCTGACTCAGAGCCACGGCAGCCGTCCAGCTGAGCCTGTCTGGACCCAAAAAAAAATTCTCGCGCTCCGCGCGATTTATCCTATGTCGGACCAAGTTCACGCCCAGGCAGGCTGATTTATCCTATTTTGCGGACTAAGTTGGGGGTCATTTTTAGCCACTGTTTTACCCTATCCCGGACCGAGTTCAACCCGAGTGTCCGCGGGCCTGACACGACTCCGTTGCGGAGTATGTGATTGAACGGCGGGAACTGGGTCTAAGCTTATTGGAGTTATTGCCGAAAGAGGCATCATGGCCGAGGTTCGAGTCATAACGAGAGTCAGCCAGAGTCAAGTAGAACACAGGAGAACACAGGAGATTATTATGGAACATTCTAGTAACATTGAACAGTTTAGTATATAAGTAGCTCAGTTTCCTATGTATTGCTCAAGCGTTTGCAGAGCTCAGCCAACCGCTAATTTATTATTGGATTCTCTCACCTAAACTTCGTCTGATTCCTGAAATAAACCCAACAAAGCTTCGTCTAAGCAATGCATTGGATGGTATTTCTCTTTCTTTCAGGGTGATTATGCCGACTCATCTCTAGCACCTTGATATCAGGGTTTCTTTATGGCAGCATCGTGAGTAGAGTTCTCTCCTAAACCGATTGTGCTCCGAAAATTCATGTTCTTCTATGTAAGGGGACAGATCATGAAGCTCAGACAATATACCCTTTTCGAAGTTGACCGTCGATACCGGTGTGTAACGTGCATTTATTCTCATCATTACTACTTGCTAAGATTTGTTTAGGGAGTGTTGTGGTGACGTAGGTCACATCCTAAACCAATTCACATGTTAATTAACGTCGCTTCAGGTGGATCTTTCGATCCAGTTCGGTCCCTATCCGAGGTTGATCCCAGGCGAGAACCAAGAAGAGGGTGCCCTTAAGCGGAGACCCCGCTCCGGGTGGTATTCGTTCGGCGCCACCCAAGATTCAGGGTCAAACACAACCCTGACATATCTAGACGGCAGTAGCGTCGGTGAGTTGTCAAGCTGAACTCTCCCTCGGTCTCTGAAAAACAACGCCGAGTTTCAGGTATGGAGTAGCGACGGCCGCAAGCTCTCATTTCAAGGACCGGAGGATAGATGGAATCTTAGGGCTCGGATTTGCTGAGTTGGTCGTCTCATAACTATACATTGACTGCACAACTAATTGGGCATCATCAGAGCGCATTCCGAAAAAATGCAGGTCAGTAATTCTTATACAAATTTTTGCCAGGGTTTACAATACGGATAGAATTTTGTGTACAGCCTGCACCAGCAAGATCTTATTGAAGTATTCTCTTCACTCTCGGGGTCGGCTGTTCATTAAAGACTGTCACCCAGCATGACAGATTCACAATCGCCCTAGGACGAAGGAAACAGTATGTCAATTCTACCATATTATATATACATTGACTTGGGGGTGATGGCCGTGGCACGGCCCGGCAAACTTGCACTTATGTCCTTTTTTTATTTTTTCAGGCCTTGCCAATTTTTTGCCTTTTCACTCTTCACACTTCAGTGATTAGCCAAGGACACACACAAATAATAAACTCATCTTGGTGGGAGGACACTAGTGCCGGCGCAATGTCATTTGTGCGATGATCCATTGGCCTGGGGCCAGATTCCATTCCGCGCTCGAGATAGGTGTCCTGGATTAGGTGGGGCTACATGCAACACTGTCAATTATTTGTGGAACCCCACATATGGTGCTGGCAGCAAGGCACTTAGTTTGACCTCGGAGATCTACCCGTCTTGGAATTTAAGTGGGTGGCTTGTAGTATGTTGTATTAGTTTATGAGCTGGTTCTTGCAGACCATAGGTTTCTAGAGATGCTTATTTGATTCCCATTGGAAACTGCATTGAGCCGATGCCCACCCAAGGAAATGCACTCCACACACAGTGTTCAAACTTTATGTTCCGCGTGTGCATTGTCTTGGAGTTGAATAAAATGTAGGTCTGCACCAGTGCTTTGCTTGCAAAGTGGGCAACTGTGTCACCATACGAGGAATGTTGAGAGCCAGAAGTCAGGCTGAACATTGCAGAAAGACAACATGGGAACGGGCCTTGTTACGATTTGATTTTCCGCAGGGACTTACATTCGGTTTTGCACCATCATGGAAAGTTCGGACCATCTACCAAACTTCAAACTGCATTGCATTGGACTCGTCAATGTAGAAAATGAAATAATATACTTTACGAGTGGACTGTTTAGATATCTAGTATAGCGGTACTTGTGAGCATTGTGAACCAAAGTTTTCGAAGGCACGGAACAGTGGCAATATATGTGCTTTAAATAATAATTCTCACAGCATATGAATGTTACGTAGATGCCTGAATATTTTCACCAGCAAGGCGCTGCAGTAAATTCCCAACAGGGCACGTGAGTATACGATGAGTGAAACGAAGACGTCGAATACACAGAACCGGGGTAATCTATGCGTCCCAAATAATTATTTAGACAACATACAGACACTGGGTAGATGCCTGAATATTTTCAGGTTCAACGGAGTGTTGGTGGCAGCAAGGGGCTGCATTAAATTACAAGCAGTGCACGTGAGTACATCATGATGGCTAAACGAAGACGTTGAATACATGGAACTGGCATAATCTCTGCATCCCAAATATCAATTATTGCAACATATGAATGTCCCATAGATGCCTGAATATTTTCAGGCTCAAAGGAATGACAGCTTGAGCTTAAGTGAGCTTGCGAGCTGAAGCGCAAAGCCGGCTGACTACACTGGGGACAATAAGCAATATACAGGCCCTGTATATCCTCAGGATATGCTCAGGATATTACAAATATCCCCAGTATATACCCGCAATATCCGGTGGCCGGATATGCTCTGGATATTACAGTATTTCCATGGTCCTTGCACCACCTTTTAATTGGCCGATATTTTTGCC